TTTTTTTTTTTTTTTTTTCATGCCACTTTTGGGAAACACAAAAACAGGACTATTCTAAACGCCTCAGCATTTGACATCTACCTTATAAACGTTTATTTCGCAAATGAGCCTTTCAATCTAGAGTTTAATCTGTTGAAGTAAACAGAATTTGGTTCACTGAATCATCTGTTTTCCCTCAAAATTTTAAAAATTGTTCAAAACCGATTCTTTATAGTATGTAGGGTGAAGAAGCTGTCTTGTACTGTAAGTAATGTATGTAGCCTTTATTGTACTGTTTTAGTGCAACGTAACAGCCAAAGTTTTGTAAAGTATAAGCAAACATAATAAAATAAATTTGTTATGATAAAAAAACAAAACAAAAACAAAAACAACAATAAGAATCTGTAATTAAGTTTACATTTATAAAAGGATTGCAGATAAAAATAATCTGAAAATTCAATTCAATTGGCAGTATTTTTCAAAATGATACCCACCCTTTAGCATCCTCAAAGTCTATTTGGACTTCGGTTGGGCATTTCTCTGGATGGAAAGTAATCTTCATCGCTTTCGCTTTGCAGATTACCGAGTCCAGTATTTCAAGTTCTGCGTAGTATGAGAATGTGTTCTCCTCTACTTTTAGTACCTGGAAAAGGGAAATGAAATGTGTAACCATTTAACACAAAAATTTATACGCGATTTAATTGCTACCAGGGAGACAGCCGACGTGTTTAGAGAGGGAAGAAGAATAACTCTCAACAGGTAAACAATCAGACATAACTTATGACACTCGCTGAAAACCTTGCAAAGTTTGCTTTTGAGTACGCCGCATGAAACAGTGCGACGCCTTGGACAGCGTCAACTAAATTGACATGACCAGTTGTACTGATTCAGTGTGTCTAACGGCGTCAGAACTATCCTTAGATAAAAATGGGAAGGCAGGGTTCAATTTCGAATAGAAACATGAAAAATACACCGTCGTGGTTCACGTTCTCAACAATACGCAGACCTTTGTGATTTCAAGTTGTTGTTTTGTAGTGGAGGGCAAAGAAAATGTGCCACATTTATGACATAGTGCAAAGCCTTGGCAAAGCCCTGGAAGGGATGCTAGTCCTTTGCAGGGTTACCCCAGGCATTAATTTCGCCGGTACCCAATTATACACCTGGGTGGAGAGAGGCACCGTAAGAGTAAAGTGTCTTGCCCAAGTACACAACGCAATGTCCTCGGCCAGGGCTCGAACCCGGACCGCTCGATTCGGAGATGAACGCACTAACCATGAGGCCACCGCACCTCCCACATGACAAGATGTAGACTTACCTTAAGTACTTGGCAATTTTCACTGGATTCATTTACGGTGAAGTTTTGTACCGAGAACAAACCAAATGTCTCCAGTGGATCAACCACTTGAACACTTTTAACGATCTCGTCTCCGAGTGGAACTGGTTCACGATTTATGACTTGAAGCAAGTTATTAAACAAGATCAAGAGATCATCAGCTGTTGACGAGATCCACATCCGGGAAGTTGACTTCAGCTCATCCCAGTCTTTTTCACGCAGATGGAATGTCACGATGTGTGTGTTGTCATCATATCGTAAGTTGTTGTAAATTACTGAAATGGTCGGTTCTACAGGCACACCCATAGCTAAACGCAACTTGAATAAGATAAATGAAATGGATACAACAGTTTACATTGATAAATATGTAAACATTAACTAATTTCGATTTATTAGCCTCAGTATCAGACACTGGCCAACTGTACTGAAAAACATATTATATTAATTCTGTTAAATCCAGCAGTATTCTAACAGTTATCTATTTGGGACAAAAGCTGAACCTGAGAGCGTAAAAAGCAAGCCTTGAAAATCGAGAGACATCACTTAGGGATGTCATCGATTGGTATATACACACTCCAGTCGACTCCAAGATCTTGGTGTTTCAAGCAATCTGATTGGTTTGCTGTCTCTGACTAATATACACCGGGTTACATTTAGATTTAGCTATTACCACGTGACAATACATCAAGCATTGCAATAAGATCACGCGTTAGATTCAACTAAACTCCAGATACATTTAAGAAATAGAAACTATTTTTCGTGTGTCTATCGAGTTTTAGTATAAATCTACCAGCGTTCTATCACGAATGCCGTTCTCTGACTGGCCACGCTACTCACTATCTATTCTGTGATAGATACTGAGTAGCTTAGCAGTGTGCCCTTGTTAACATAATGGCAGTCGTTTCTTAACGTTTTCGAAGTGGATTTGGATAAAGTTTTGATCGACAAGTAGATTTATACTAAAACAATTAGATTATTCGCTCTCGATTTCTATTTAAACAATAGGGTGTTTGATGTCGAGGAACCATCGGCTGATAGTTGCCCCGCGGAAATTTGATGTTCTTAAAACAAATATTTGCCCGAGAAGCGAAGCTTCGAGGAAAAATATGCGAGTTTTATGGACATCAATTTTCCAAGTGCAACTATCATACCGATAGTTCCGAGACATTAACACTCTATTGTCTTTATTGTTCACCACTAAATTTTCTTCCGCGCGCCAGTTCAAAAATCACTTTAAATTATTTTTTAACTTTTTAAGATGAAAGCCGTGAAAAGCCAAATGTAAATTTTTTGAAAAAAGGATAACAACCCATATAATGTAATTTCAATTGTTTATTTTCTATAAGCCCGCTACTTTACGGAAAACCTTTCACGGACGAGTACTATCCATCCGGGTATTTTTTTCAGACGGGCACTATGGGCTAATAGTGTCTCTCCGCGGATTAACACTATCGCGTCACGAGATCAATTTAAACCAATAAGAATCGGAGAAAATTTGGTGGTGAACTATAGCGCGTGATAGAAATCTCGAGCTCATAATCTAATTGTTCAATAGAAACACGAGAGGACTTTTGGGAGAATACGAAATACTGTAGCAACACGAGCCGACAGGTGAGTGTTTCCACAGCTTTTTCGAGCTCTCCCAAACTTCCACTCGTGTTTCTATAACTCGATATATACACTGAGAACATGTTTTCTGTCTTTAAGGTTTTTTGAAAACAGCCCAGAAAAAATAACGAACAAAGTGACTACGATAATTTTCTGTGTTTCCGTTGAGTTATCGTCTTATAGAAGTAAGTGCATACGGTTTTTACCCAATCAGCACGCGTACTTTCTTTGGGCTATTTATAGATATACATTTAATTACTTGTCCCGAGGGTAACAGTTAGTTTTGTTTTCCCGAGAATCTCGATGTTTCCCGAGACACAGAAGAGCTTCCAACTTTAAATCACCCCATACAAGAAGTAAGCCGACCATACGAAAAAAAAAAGAACAATTTACTGTAATTAACTGACTTGTGACTGAAGCCGTTCAAAATCGCTGTGCTCCCGCTCTATACAAATCATCGGGATGGGCGTTCCTTCGTACCAAGAGGCCACCGATATCTTGGAGGATGCTTTTATTTCAACTATAGGCTCTAAAAAAAGGATGAAACATAACCAAGTGGCTCACAACAGTTTCTAGCACTTTTCAAGACTTAGAATTTGCTGGGTCATAATAACCACTTTTCATTAGGTGATGCTGCAATTATGGTTTTTAAAAACCGCGCAATAACTGGGGAACACGTTGGTATCATTTTCGTGACATAACAGGAACAGTATAACCTGCTTAAAAAAACCTTTAATTTTAGCTTTAAGTTCTTATATTTCCAAAACGATACGATGAAACCCACTTTTTTATTGTCGAATTTTGATAAGCAGGATAAGTTGCAACTTTTAAAAAGTTTTAAAATATTTTGCACATGGGGTTCAGAGCCACCTTAAAGTTTCGAAAAGTTTTGTTTCCAAGATGCACTAGAATAGTTCTTGATTTGTTCCTCCTTGTAGAATTTAGTTGGTTTTTGCTCTCTGTGTTATAGAATTATTTTGCAAATAAATTAAAGGTATTGTACACAGTTTTGACCAACAAAGGTCAAAATCCTCGGGGCACTGCCCCTTTAATATCTTCTATGCATATTACCAAAACCAATGTTATCACTCTAGCCAATCACAAAGAACACAGACAATACAGTAAACCAATCAAAACTGGAAGGTAAATACATGCAGCTGACGTGAAGTGCGAGAAAACGTGTGCGAGCGAGTCACAATTTGTCTGGCTATAACTTCTGATTGGATGAAAAAGTGGGGCGAGTTTTTTAAGCCAATCAATGTGTCGTAGAAATGCAAAACCAATTTTTTTTCGACCCTCAAGTGAAAACCACTCTTAACCACTTTACTTCTATTTATTATGATGAAGTCTTGACACCAAGTTGCTTACAGAGAGATCATTATGAAACGTTCGAAAGAGGGAGCTTAATTATCTTAATTCCTTTTTGATGTCGAGCTTCAGTTTAATTTGTTAGTGTAAATATAATAGGATATTGTGCCTTACCTCGCTGGCTTCCTAAGGATGCTTCTAACAAATTCCAAGACAGACCAAACTTTCTGTTGAAATCGGCAGGTAGCTCACTTTCAAGAAGATCAAATATCTGAGTGGCTGAAAGATAAATTTACAACGCCAAATTTGTAACACGTAATACCCATGAATAAATCCATACAAGATGGAAAGAAGATAAAAGTTTCGACAAATATAATACGTATCAATTCAGTTGGAACTAGTCAGTGCTAGAAGCAGTGACAGAAACATTTACCTGCAAGATTAACATACGCACAGTTTATCTCTAAATNCATAAATTATGCGCAGTAAGGATGCGCAATGCAAATGTGAGGAATGACCTTAATTCCTTTTTGATGTCGAGCTTCAGTTTAATTTGTTAGTGTAAATAGGATACTGTGCCTTGCCTCGGTGGCTTCCTACGGATGCTTTTAACAAATTCCAAGACAGACCAAACTTTCTGTTGAAATCGGCAGGTAGCTCACTTTCAAGAAGATCAAATATCTGAGTGGCTGAAAGATAAATTTACAACGCCAAATTTGTAACACGTAATACCCATGAATAAATCCATACAAGATGGAAAGAAGATAAAAGTTTCGACAAATATAATACGTATCAATTCAGTTGGAACTAGTCAGTGCTAGAAGCAGTGACAGAAACATTTACCTGCAAGATTAACATACGCACAGTTTATCTCTAAATATACATCTGGCCCGGTTGTTCGAAGGCTGGATAATGTTATCCAGCGGATAAGTGTTGACAAAAACAAACCACGCTATCCACTGGATAGTGATTTTTCCACTGGACAGCGTTATCCACCTTTCGAACAACCGGGGCCAGATTTAAATGTTTTCTCCTTATATTTTTATATTCTTTTGTCCAAGAACACAACGTGATCGTGGCCATTATGCGCGTGACAAAACTCAGCCTGGTATTCTGAGGCGATCTTGGTGAAAACCGACAGTGCCAAACACAGATCTCTTTTGTAACATCCACCCCTACTCGTCTACTCTTCTCTTCTCCAACATTACTAGGTTCCATATATTCAAATTCAACATAACCTCCTCCTTTGACCAATGGTTGTATCTGATGAATAATTCGAAGTAGGGTCAGTGGCGAGGGCGATTGAACACCAAACTTCTGGCGTGTTTCGTTCAGTAGATTGAAACACCGCTCAGCCAGCCGAAGTAGGGCTTGTGCAACGTCACTGCTTTTATCTGCAATTGCCAATGTACACATAACAGAACAATGAGCAGAATATAAAAAAAAATTTTTGCTGATAATGATGATGTCGATCAATCTTATGTAAATGAGTAGAGTGTATAATAGAGCGGTTTTCAACTGCGTGTCGTAGATTAACACCAAAACCAAAGTAAACACTCTGGCCAATCATAAAGGACATAGGCAATCCAATGAACCAATCAAAATTCATAGTAAATATATGTCGCTGACGGGAAGCGCGGGAAAACGTATGCTAACTAGTTGCGATCAGTTTTGGTTTTACTTCTGACTGGATAAAACCCCAGTTTCTTTTAGCCAATCGTGTCGAGTAATAATGCAAAACCAATTACTTTTCGACCCGCACGTGAAAACCAGTCTGAGTGTTCCGTAAAGTTAAGTGAGTCACGAGTTACCCCATTTAGTTAATTCGCATCAGATATGTCGGAGTAATGCCCGACATATGAGAGAAGAGATTTCAACCTCCTGAAATCATGCTTTAAAGCTTTGCATAATACTGAGACTTGGCCAGATTATGTAAAAATAATAAAACAGCAATGTCGCAAGGAACTGCGCTCAAGCAATTCCAATAGATTAGAGGTTCCGACCGAAAACGCCAAATTCCAAGATAATGCGTCGAAGCTATTTAACAATTTACCATAATTTATTAGAAACTGTAATGATTACAGAACCTTTTTAAGACTTTCAAGGAAATTTTTATATAATAGACTACAGAGTAATTACTCAATTTTAGTGTAATTTCAAATCCATTTTAATTGTAAATAATGTAATTTGTTTCGATTGTAAATAATGTAATTTAACAGAGCCACCTTGTGGATCTGATAAATAAACCATTATTATTAAAATTGTTATTAATATAATGCACCTTTCTAATTTCACCAATCAACTGACGTTGTAATACTCGTAAAAAAGATAGTTTACATGAGTCAGATACTGAAAGATAATAGTCACGTTAGGAATACGTTGGTATACGAACTTTCCATTTAAGACGTGTGAAAGAGAGAATTGACAGAGGAAGTTAAAGAATTTTAATACTCGAAGTTCAAAATTAATAGCTCAGTAAAATGAGCCTTTTTTGAAAACAGATGTAGCATTTTAATTTCATACATTATAAACCAACCTATCGTCAGCACCGTCCTTTTATGCTCCGCTTTTACCCAGCAAAGAATTTCTTCTTTACTCTGAATTCTGTCCGGCAGTTTACTGTACCAATAAAAACAATTAAAAAGCCAGATCTAGATGTAGCTAGACATAGACAGGTAAATAGATGAAGTTGGACTTGATTTTGTGATTATTAGATTATACTCTGATACGTTACGTTAAGTTCAAGTGAAATCTTGAAAATCCTGCAACAAATGTTTTTATTATTTACTAAAAATACTCCATTTGTCCGTGTGTTTCCCCTTTAATATTTCACAGATGGCGTCAAAACATGGTGAGAGCATAACGACCCTGACCAGCTCAGATCCAGACTGCTTGATCTGCAGTCGACTGCTCTAACCATTGCGCCTGACCGCGTCCCCCTGAGCGTAAGAGAAGTGTTGGACTAAATTTGGACTAAAAAACTTATACCCCGCTCACACCAACATGCATGTTTAACATATTTCAAGGTTAAAAATCAGTTGCTCAGAAAACTAGTTTAGTTGGTGTGAATGGGGTATTAGTCTCACGTACCTGCTTCCCAGCTCAAGATCAACAGTCAGCTTCAAACCAAGAACTGTCGGGAGAAGTGGCAGCGGAACACCAACACATTTGAAGTAATACTCCTCCATATCTTTACAATCATCACTCCATAACAAGCTTGATGTAAACAAGAGAGATGTGTTTGGCCTAGGGGTAAAAAGCAACATGCCTAAAGTAACTTTTTGGTGGCAACGATCTTCCCATCTTTTGAGGACCTCCGGGAGTAGCGATCCCCTGAAGACAAAGATAATGGTTTTTATTATATAGACACGAGTGCTTTACTGGAAAATACACCACTCGTAAAATTCATACGAAACCACATCCGGGACTCGAGTAGCGTATTTTCAATATCCTCACTAGTGAGGATATCGATGATTTCACTGATATCAAGTTTGTCTCTTAAATTGTTCTTATATTCGTTGTTGTATGATCGAAATATCTTCAGATCTTCCTCGAAAGTCTTCGGCAATCTTCGGAAAATTTCAGAAAATGTTCGGCAACGTTGTGTGACCTTCGGACAAGTTTTGAACAATCTTCGGAAATCTTCGGAAAGTGGTCGGAAATCTTCGGAAAATCGTCAAAAACGCCCTCATCAGTATCGTAACGTATCGTCAGTATAGTAACATTACACGCTAGCTCGAAGATATGAATTTTATGTTCTCGTGGCAAAAACAATATCTCACAAGTGAGATATTGCGAAGCGGACTCGTGAGATATTGTTCTTGCCACTCGAACATAAAATTCATATCTTCGAGCTAACGTGTAATGTTCTTTTTATTATGAATGAAATTTAAAAGTGGCTGGTAAATACCCAAAATAGTCCCCCCGGAAGAAATATGACCCTTCTTAATTTGACTTTCTTGGAAATAGCAACAGTTAATAGCGGCAACACTTTTTTATTAGTTGAAGTGTGGCTATCGTTTCGTCACAGCCGGTTTCGAAGTCACATGAAAGCTGCCGTTGTTTTCGCTCGGTCCTTCAAGTCACGCACTGGTCGACTACCCTAAGAGCAATTAGCCTTCTTGTAGTATTGAGAAAATTACAATAACAGCAACCAAAATTTTTTTTCACATACAATTTTAGCCTTGGGGCACAGCAAACGAGAACATTCAGCAAGCCAATGTGATCACTGACATTACTTGTGTCGATGACGTCAAACAAACTTTCTGAAGGGAGGCCACTAGTACACAGGGCAAGTGCATCGCCATTCCACAGGATAACCTGGCAACGAAGATAAATATCAAAAATAAGTTTCACAGGTCGCACAGATATATAGCTACCAGTAAGTCGTCTAGTGTAATCGACTCCAGTTTGGACTGGCTTTGAGAAAGACTTACTAACGATATTAGTCTTTCTCAAGACTGACCTCAAACACAAGATTTCACTTGGGACCTCTAAACGAGCTCTAAGAATTAGTAGGATTTTACGGGAGCTTTGTTCCGGTAAATTCAGTCTTGCTTTGTTTTGTTTTGTTTTGTTTTTTTTGCAAAGAACATAATTACCTTTAAATTGAAGGAAACTAAAGGAGAAAAACAACAAAGAGTTTGTGCTAAAAGTCCACCGTGCGTGACATCGACTGGCGTTTTTTGTCCAGCATAATCAGACTTTTTGAACGGGACTGGGTAACTTGCCAGAGGTGACCAAGATGCGAGTTGGCGTGGCAAGTTCATGTACGCTGTTGCTGCGGGTTGCAAGATGGGACCCTTTCACCGCCACCACCGCCACCAGCTGCACGCCCCCCTCCCACACCCTCCCCCCCTCCTCCTCCCATCGCCACCACCGCAATCACCACCGCCGCCGCTGCTCAGGCTCGCATCATATTGCTGACTTTAACATTTTTCTTAGGGCGTGTAATGTTGATTTACAACCCTCCCCCTTTCTCCACCACCACCACTACTAGTGTCACCACCACCCCGCCGTACTCTGCTCAGGTTCGCGTCATGACACTAACTTTAACATTTGTCTTAGTGCGTCTAGCATTGGATACTTCGCCGCCCCCAGTTGCGTTTTCCCGACTATACTTTATTCAGAGCACAGTCATAATCGGATCCTAGCTGCGGAAAGATGACTTGCCTTTAAAGTTGCTGAGTGATTTTTCTTCAGTTCCTGGAAGCGTTTCACCCACAGCATTAGGTGCTCCTTGCAAGCAGCTGCCAACGATTTGCATTCAGGCTCGAGGTCTTGTCTGAAAAAAGAGAAAGCAATCGTTTCTCATCATGGGTACATGGTAGAAATGTGTTTCTTTCAAAAATATTTTGAGGTCGATTCTGCTGAACTGACTGAAGTTTTATTGTTGTCGACAGTTTTACTCGCTTGGCTGATTGTCAACTTTAAAAGCAATGATTTTCGTTGCGATTTATATACTTTAACTTGATCTTGTGTTTTCAAGGTTATTTGGAACTCACTCTTCTCTAAAGAAGTAAAATGTTACATCTTTTTAAAATCTCTATAGAAACGTTTCCATTCTTTTTCTGTCATAACACTACACAACACCGGAAGTAAGTGTACCAGCTGGTAAATTAAACACGATATACGCGAGTGATTTTTGAATATCTGTCACCGCAGACAGTTTCCAAAACGATGTAATATTTCTCAGATTTCTGTAATGTACTTTTGTTACTACCGCATTTAGCTTAACATGGTGGTAACCAGCTCGAAAGCCAATGGCTAGTCTGGTTACCACGCACATATCTTTTTAGTCTTTTCCCAAACCATGTGTTGCGAATATTTCTCTTTGCAATTCACATGTGCTATTCTAGATTTACAATGAAAATACTGTAAATAGAACACAATAAAAGCGTTGAGTTGAGCTGAGATTAGTTTCCAACCGAAATTCGAAGTGTAGAGGAGGAGTCTTTTATCTACAAAACAGGTAACAATGGTCGCGATGAATAGCAACAATTTTGCAATTAGACAACATCAGGTATTTCCGGGTCAGGCTGAATTGAGGAACTTCGTTATAACGTTTACAAAACGTCGGTTGGAATAATACGGCCCTCTTTTAGGCAAAATTCACCTGTACAAAAATAAAACTAGAAGAAATCGCTCACATAAAATAATTGCCAAATCAGCTGAAGATCAGGCATTGGTAGCCTTGACGAGTACGTGGCTCACCTTTCAAGAGGCGGATAGCTTTCGAACGCACAAGAACCATAGTGCTGCTTCCATTTGTGAACAAACGGACGAATTAAGGTTGGGTTTGTCTTGTCCGATTCATCGCTTGTGTAACCTTCGCTGAACCAGTGCTTTATTTCGTCGTAAAGTGGATTTGCCGACGTTGGTTCACAAAAATGGTCTAGTGCTTCTTCATAGATCAACTTTACCATTTGGCTTAGCACAGACAGGCACTGGTCATCACGACTGAATTTCAGTTCTTTTCTTCGCTCTTCGATTAGCCTGTTTCTACTCTCTTTTATGCTTTGTACTTCAAGATCGAGATCCCTCCAGTCCTTCCATATGTCACGACATTCCCTAAGAACGGCGCTATCTTGAAACTTTAAAACACTCCCGTCGCTCTCAAAATCCTTCTCCAGCAATTCAGAGAGAACATTTCGCAGTCTGTCAAAATGAGCTTTCGATATTGCAAGGTTATACCAGATATTCCATAGGAAGTCCACATCATCTGGGATTTCAGGATTTATCGCACAAGCGGCTTCAACAAGCACAGCATTGCGAGCAACCACCGATGGATCGTAGTCGTTTAAATGAAAATTCAAACTTTTAGGACGCTCGTGACGTTTTCTCAAAGAAAGATCTGATACAGTGCACAACACATTCCTTATATCACCAGAAGCTAAAAGCAACAAGTCTAAATGTTGTTCTTTCGAGGTTCCCAAAAGCTCCGTTAAGTCTCTAGCTCTTGTATTCCCCATAGCGTAAGTGTAAAGACCCGTTGGATAAAGAATCGTTCCCGCTGGATTATGAAAACTCAACACTGGAACGCCCTGGCTATCGTATCTTGTCATGTTGATATTCGAAGGAGTTAGAAAAATATCAAAGCTATTTTTTTATCACAGAAATATAAAATAAATTTTCGTACAAACTGTAATTCTGAGAACTAGAATTAGGTCGAATTCTAGGAATTCGGTCCGCGAGAGACCTGGGTTCTACGATTATCCACTGTTTTCAGATAAAACCGGTCAAGCGTACTCGATAACAGGGCAGCGTAAATCGCTTAAGGTCTACTAGGGCCTGTTTATAAGGAGAGAGGGTACCCTAAAAGGCGGGCTACCCTAGCACTCACACATTTCCTCTTTTTTTCTTCATCGTGTTTACAAGGCAGCCAGGGTTACCCGGTTAGCGGGGTTACCCTATCTGCGTGCTAGGGTTACCCTGGCAGGCGGGTTAACTTTTTCCCTTGCAAACACTCCAGGTAGGGTTAACCCACCTACCTGGGTTAGCTTTCTAATTTTTTCCAGACCTTTTGAGTGTAACCGCGCATTGAGTTGTCCCAGGTTGTAGGGTTACCCTACCTGTAAAATTTTGCTTGTAAACCCGGGCTATCTTTTGCCCTCCAGCTAGGGTTTACCCGCTTGCTAGGGTAACCCTCCCTCCTTGTAAACAGGTCCTTAATGTATCGGGATTGTTCCTTTAAGGAATAATCACAAGCACTGAGTTTTAAATGTCGATCTAATATTTCACGATTCAGCGAGCATCGACAAAGTCTGAGTCCGACGTTAGCCTTTACAAGAAAGACGTGCGTGCCCCCATATTGGTCTTAACGGAAGTTTGATAACCCAATCCCACTTCACTCAAAGGACGTCCCGTTCCAACTCACACAACGCCAGTAAGCAGCTCGAGTATTTGAAATTCCTCCCTCTCTCGGAAAAAATTGGGCTAGGAACGTGATTGGTGTACCGGCTCGTGAAACTGCAGAGTAGGGGCTGAACAAAAAATATAACGAACGAATATGTCTTAGCCTTATCCGTGCATGAACACAGCATTCAATTGCTAAGATAATTTATGATCATTCTATTTCTACAACGGCTTACAACAACAACTCGCTTTATTTGCATGACCGAAAATACATACAGTGCTGAAAAAGCTTTTGCAAACTAAAACTAAACTAACAGGATATAACCTATTATGAATCTTATCGATATATCCTTACGATTCGATTAATTCTGCTAAATTCAATTTTTATGCAGAATATAAAACCATTGTGTCGAAAATGAACACCCAAAACCGAAGACCGAAGACCCACTGGTCTAAAACAAATCTGTATTTTGCGAACTAAAAATCTGTACTTTGCGAAATGAAATCTGTTCTTTGTGAAATGAAAATCTGAGCATTGCGAAATGAAATCTGCACTTTGTGAAATGAAATCTGTGCTTGCGAAGAAGCTTCTCCTTAACTTCTGGCTCCTACAATCATGACCGTGACACAGATTTTTTGTCGCGGCTCAGGATGAGTTCTTTGTCGACCGCGACCAAAGGCATTTCTAACACGGTGTCTCGAAAACGCAGATCTCGAAAGACCCAGAAAACCCAGACCCTCTGGATGTGTCGAAAACTCAGACTCGAAAAAGAAAACAATTTTTCACAGTGTGTTTGCCGTGGATTGCTTTAAGACGTCGTACTTGTTTACTGTTCGTCGTTACAATATCATAGGCAGAAAATAATTGTCCAGAGGCAAACGAGACAAAAAGACGAAATAACTTTAACCAAGAAGGGCTAAGTTCGCACAAAATTTCACAACTCCATTAAATTCAAGATGGCGGATGCATTTGGATCTCAACTGCGAGAACGCACTTGCGCGGGTCGTAACGTAGCGCCTTTAAAATTCATCGCATAGAATAGGGTATTTAATACAATAATTCATCTTCAATTTGATAAGATTCACAAATAGAGCAGAGTCTGTTCACCTTTGAAATTTGGTCATGTCTACAAGCTTCAATCCTTAATTAGTTTGTGAGTGCCTATCTTAAATTTTGATAGTTCCTTTCTTTAGCTTAGCTTGCTTGTTAGGCTTAAATAAGAGGAGGGTGCATAATAGTTCTTAACAGCGTTGAAAAATTCTAGTTTATTAGAGTATTGCATGTTATGTTGCCAGTATAAAATATACTGTTGCATTAGGCTAACATAATGTTCGATTTTAGCGTTAGTTAAGTACGTAAGATCAAAACAAGGCAAATTGCAAAATTCAGATATACTTATTTGCATTTAGAATAGAAACTATTTTCACCAGCGTGATGAAGATCTTCTGACACGAGAAAGATTTGTTTACCAATAGAGCAAATGTCCTTACTTTGAAGATATAACGAGTAATTGATTATTTTCTGACTGAAATCTTTAAGAAGAGATAACCTACCAAGTTCAGCTTACGTTGAATAATACAAATTTTCTTAAGCATCATTCTTTTCCTTTTGCTGACGTTTCTCGTAGAGGTTCATTTTCGCGAGGTCTACTTCAGACACCAGTAAAAAAGAACCTAACGTTCTAATTATAGTTTATGCGAATCAAGCACTGCACTGAAATCTCATATCCACCTAGCACTCTTCTGTTTTCAAGATGTAAGCTAACTATAGCAACTTGAACTAGTACTCAAAACTATAAGAAAAAGCAAAGTGGGGCTTCCGTTGCTTACTGGCCGATCGCCAATGACGTCAAGACAAGAAAGCTAATCAGCTGCCACGTTACTGGATGGTAATCTGTCACGAGAAAAAAAAGCAATATAAACGTAAGTTTAATTCAAGGCATGTGACCTCGGACTTTTTTCGTGTTGCTGTAAGTTAATACTTTGGTGGCCAGCTTATCAGACCTCCCGTCGAAAAATCGTTTTCAGTTGACATGCACCTTTGCTTTTCGCGAGAAACAAGTGAATTTTCACAAATACCTCAAAATTGTGGCACTTTTCCAACAAGTTGAACCCTAAGTTAAGTGATTTTTTTTTTTAACTTAAGTTAAATGATTTTTTTTTTCCTTGTTTGATTCCGGTTTTTCGATCTTTTCAGCTTAGCTTTAGCCACAAAAGTCGCCTCCATCACAACTTTTCGCAACATAATACGCTTACCATGTGCAGCACTCTTAATGGTAGGTGGTCCTGTTTGTGAGGAGAGAAAATTAGATAATTAAGTACGTTTTACATATTCGCTTTCGCTGCCGGAAAATATAGAAATCCAACATAGATATATTTGTTTTAGTTCGTTTTGCATTTCGGAGTTACAGGTTACTGTTCCAGTTCATTGACCGTAACAGACACCTGCTAGTTTGTTGTGGGAACATAACTGTAATAAGCGTTGAACTGTAATTGCCACCTGCGATAGTCTTGTTAAACTGTTATCTACCTGTATTGTTTTGAAAGTTATTAATATTGTAAACGATGAATTCCGTTATAGCCAATCGAGCTTTCTGAAATGTATTAGATAATGTATAGTTAAGAATTTTTAATAGCTTTACGTAATCCTTTAGAATTGTGCTTTCGGCTTAAATAGTCGTGCCTTGTAAAATATTCTTTGGTTACATTCGGGTTATGTTCGGGTACGTTCCGAGAACTTTGGTGGATTAAACTCTACTGTTGGACCCAAGAACTGTGTATTCTCTGTCTTCCCGTTGGATTGTTTTGCTGTAACAGATCCCGCGTCCTCTAGGAGTCTGACCACCTCCATCGCTGCAAGCGTGTTTCCCTCTGCATTGTTGTAACAAGGATAACAGCTTAAGCGGCCCAAAAACCTGTTATCACATGTTGACTTCTTAGTGCCATTATAAGTCTTTATATCCAACACTATTCTAATGAAGGGTAGCGCTCTTGGTGTCAGGAGTTAAACTCGATCCCCTCCGACTCTTCATCTCGTTTGATTTCATTCTTCCGACCTTTTCAGCTTAGCTTTAGCCACGAAAATAAGTGGCATCACAATTTTTCACAAAGCAACACACTTACCATGCGCAGTACTCTTGATGGTAGGTGCTTCGGTTGACGTCCAATCTGCTTTGAAACCTTTGAAGGCATCCAGCTCGTCCGAGTGAAACATGATATACAGGGACTGAGCCGAGGCATAAACAGGCTCTGGTAAAGTCCTCCCACAGTACTTTCCTGGTAAACAAGCATAGTGGGACGTTGGAAAACTTCAAACAAGGGAAGTCAAAATTAAACTTGAAAATATATTTTTTAATCTCTTATCATTACCAATCAACGGCGCTGATTTGTCTTTTCCATTCCGCATAACAACATAGTCTGCAGTACAGTTAACACTCTCCTCCAATTCAAACGCTGTGAACGTGAGCCTGAGATCTTTCTGTTCAGCGTTCACTGAAATAATCCACTCGCAAACCAGACTGTTAGGATACTCTGTGTTGTAGTACGGTGTCATAATTTCTCCTTCTGCAGTTGTTAGCTGCTGAATTCCGCAATCTGCTTATTTCAAGCAATATAAAAAAGATATTAATTATTAGTAACTAACGCCGTTGATCTTAGCTTGCCTTCAGCTGATCACTCACAGTGGCCCGATGTTGATTCAGGCAGGCAGCTTACTTGTCTTTGTTTCTTGATCTTCGATCCCTTTCTTGGAGAACTTTGCCAATAAAAAAGGTTAAGTCCGCATACGAGCCAGGTGGCCCATCAGGCCGGAGCTTATCCCGGTTTCTGTAGCATGAAGCGATTAGGAGTATTTCTACTCCCCCCTGGATGGGATGCTAGTCCATCACAGGGTTACCCCCAGCATTAAACTCCCCGGTACCCATTTATACCCCTGGGTGGAGAGAGGCACTGTGAGAGTGAACTTTGCCAATAGCAGAGATTAACCGTTGGCCGTAAAACGGGCCAAGTATTTAGCCGTAAGAGTAAAAATTGAAAATTTTAACCGTTAACCGTAAATAAATTTTAGCCATGGAAGCGGAAGTCTCCAGATCTATTGTCAAGACTTATTTATGTCTTGTCTTGTGGCTTGGTAGTAATATACCGAAACAGCCGGGAGACTTAGTAGTAAGCTATATTAGTTTACAATTTTTATAACAATACCTTTTTCCATCCTAGTATGGTCCAAAGACATCAAATATGTTTTAGAGTTATTAAAATAATTTTTTGACTTTTTTAAGCAATGAAAATTATTTTTGGCTTGAAGAAAAAGGTCACATAACCTTACCGGTTTTCTTCGTTTGACATTTTTCACTTGTCATGTTTGTGGCCACTTCCACCAAGCCGTCAGCTGTTTGCCCCAAAAACTCCACCATCACCGGGGTCACATGACTGATGTCGTCACAATTCTCGTGGTAACACTGTTGCATGTATCCCCGGAAATCCGCGGAATCGGTAAGGAAGACCGCTGGTAACGAGGGCTCGGCATTCCAGAAACGATAATGGTCTGAGCGAAAGAAATTGTAGACAGCATTCTGGTAGATTTGGTTCCAGGTACTTGGTCTGCCTGATATTAGCGAAACGGCGATCGATTTGAAGGTTTCTGTTAAGAACAAGTAGTAACGGTTTGAAATTTAATCAAAATTGCAGGTAAACCGAAATCAAAGTTCGTCAGAGGTAACAATTTGTACGTACAATGGCGCCGGGAAGGAGAACGCTGAGGACCGTACCACCTAAAGTACAAAGAAAAAAAAAAAACCATACAAGGCACAAGTGGCGGAAAATCCCCCCCTTCCCCCTCTTATTTTCTTCGAGCACGAATGCAAGGCACACTTTCACTTCCTCACCCCCATCCCTCCCTCCCCCCCCCCCTGCCAAGGCCTCCGTTCTTATCTGTTTCTCTCCTGGGAAGCTCTGGATCACTTACTGAATTGAAAAGTCTAACCCAAATACCAAGATGGCCCTAAACAAACTTGTCAGTACGGGATTTCCATCCCCTCCCTCCCCCTGCTCCTCTTTATATCTGATTGACACAAACTTGAACTAACCGTCCTTTATGAAAAAATTGGTAATCCCACTGACGAGCTGTGTATCATCCTGTGCTCGACCAATCACAACTAAGAAGTCTCCTCTGAATTGATTTTGTGACACTTGTTGGTATTGTTGCGCAAATGCGACGTCGAAACCGGCGGGGAGCCTTTGAGAATTGGGAGTGTCGTTGTAATTGAGTACCGTGTCTAGGATGATCGCTCCTTGGAAACTCGCGCCAGTGCTGTTGAGATACTCAGTTAAGTTTTGGACAAAATTACCGCTGCCGCATAATCCAGCTGGGCACGAGCAGTTCCCAGACACCGAGCAGCTAACATTGAAAGTTGGCTGTCTCTCTTCCAAGTCAAAGGCCACAAAC